TTCCAGTCTTTGCATGACGGCTTCCGCAATCAATCCTGATATGGGTGATCCCATAGGTGTCCCTTGAATTTGTTCATATATTTGGCCGTTGAATTGGAAATAAGTTGTGAGACACAAGTTTATGCATTCCATCCAACTTGAATGCTGCATTTTTGATTGTTGTATGTGTTCGTCGTTGTTGAGTAGTTGTTCCATGGTTTCTTTTGCTAGTTTTAGTCCAATCGAAGTATATAATGCCGTGACGTCGAAGGATACCATTATTTCTTGGCTGTCTATTTCAATGCCTTTGATTTTCTCTAAAAATTGGGTCGCAGATTGGATGGAGTGATCACATGATTTCGTCAAGTGTTTCAGTCTTCTGTATAGTTCTTTGGATAAATTGTATGTTGGGGTTCCTGGGAGTGATACGATTGGTCGTAGAGGTATATTTGGCTTGTGTATTTTTGGTCTGCCGTAGAATCGAGGTATGACGGGTCCATTGGATTTCATTCGCCATTGATCTTCTTTTGTGATCTGACCCGTTTTGGTGAGTTTGCTTAGGGTTCTTTGGATGCGGTTGTTTAGTGTTTCGATGGGGTTTGTTGTTAGTTGTTGGTATATTGTTTGATCTTTGAGTAGTTCTTCCGCTTTTGCAGTGTATTCTTCTTTGTCCATGATTACTGTAGTCCTTCCTTTGTCAGCTGGTACTATAACGATATCTTTCCTGTTTTTCAGTCTTTTGAGGGCTTTTTGTTCTTGTGAGTTGAGTTGTGTGTGTCGTTTTCTTTGTTTAACTATAGGCACTATTGTTTGACGTATCTCTTCTTGTGTTTCTTCACTTAATTTTGATGATTTGAGTGTTGATTCAAGAGCAGCGAAGAAGTCTGTTTTCGAGGCGTCTTCAGTGTTGTAGTTTAATCCTTTTTGAAGTAGTTGTTGTTCCATTTTTGACAGCGGCTGTTTTGATAAATTGACTACGCAATCAATTGGTGTATTGTTCGGCTGTTGTTTTTTGATTTTGGTTAGCTTGGTTCTGAGAACTTTTCGTCTACGTTCTCTGTGTCTACTACTTGTCAGTGCGATCAACAAAGAAGAATACACTGCAAAAGCGGAAGAACTACTCAAAGATCAAACAATATACCAACAACTAACAACAAACCCCATCGAAACACTAAACAACCGCATCCAAAGAACCCTAAGCAAACTCACCAAAACGGGTCAGATCACAAAAGAAGATCAATGGCGAATGAAATCCAATGGACCCGTCATACCTCGATTCTACGGCAGACCAAAAATACACAAGCCAAATATACCTCTAAGACCAATCGTATCACTCCCAGGAACCCCAACATACAATTTATCCAAAGAACTATACAGAAGACTGAAACACTTGACGAAATCATGTGATCACTCCATCCAATCTGCGACCCAATTTTTAGAGAAAATCAAAGGCATTGAAATAGACAGCCAAGAAATAATGGTATCCTTCGACGTCACGGCATTATATACTTCGATTGGACTAAAACTAGCAAAAGAAACCATGGAACAACTACTCAACAACGACGAACACATACAACAATCAAAAATGCAGCATTCAAGTTGGATGGAATGCATAAACTTGTGTCTCACAACTTATTTCCAATTCAACGGCCAAATATATGAACAAATTCAAGGGACACCTATGGGATCACCCATATCAGGATTGATTGCGGAAGCCGTCATGCAAAGACTGGAAAACATAATTCTGCCAAAGATCAAACCGAAAATTTGGATACGCTACACAGATGATACATTTGTGATAATCAAAAGAGAAAACTTAGACAATACCCACAACATAATAAACAACACCTTCAACGACATCAAATTCACAAGAGAGGAAGAATATGAAAACAAAATCCCATTCTTAGACATCTTAATCAAACGAACAACTACAGGAAAATTAGAAACCCAAGTATACAGAAAACCAACGCACACGGATCAAATACTCAATTACAACAGTAACAACCCAACATCACACAAAATTAGCTGCATACGTACATTGTTCAAGAGAGCCAGGACTCATTGCAGCACTCCCGCCTTGAGGAAAATTGAAGAAAATCATCTTATGGACGTCTTCCAAAGAAATGGATACCCACGAAACTTCATCAAAAGACATCTGCCCCCAGCTCAACCAACCAAATCAAAGGCCACCAGCGAAAACACAAAGAAAGTCGTCCTACCATATATAAAAGATATCTCCGAAATCACTGCAAGACTATTCAAACCTTTTGGAATCGATGTCGCTCATAAACCAACAAAGTCACTACACTCAGTTCTATGTAAGCCAAAGGACTCAACAGCAAAAGAAGACAAAACTAACGTCATCTACAAGATAAATTGCAACGACTGCGACAAACATTACATTGGTCAAAGTGGACGCCCTCTTCGTCTTCGCATTCACGAACACAAACTAGCTGTCAAAAGACACGACATACACTCCCTCATATCACTACATGCAGACAACCACGGGCACCAATTCGACTGGGACAATGTTCAAATCTTAGACAAAGGGAACTGCAAAAATGCCAGAGAATTCCTAGAGGCCTGGTATTCAAATGAATCAGCAATCAATAGACACATAGAGATTGACAAAATATACCAATCCATACGAAGAAATTCACACAAAAACAAAGTCAAACTTCAGGTCAAGGAAACAGTCAACACCAAAACAAGTGAACTAGAAAGTGAGAAGTCACACAAAAACAACCAATCACGTTCAAGGTTAGCAGAAGGAACGACTAACGACATTCAGACCAAAGAAGCAGCCAGCAGCGAGACAAGCAAACTAGGGGATGAAATGTCACACGAAAACAACCAATCACGTTCAAGGTTACTAGAAGAGATGACTAATAAACTCATAGAGAATTCTAAAAGCTCACTTCACATCGAAGTATGCGCTGAAGATGTTGCTCAGTAGAGCAATGAAAGCTTCGCAACTAAACCATCCAGCTCAGAGAACACAACCACACCAAAAAGTATGAAATAATGGCTGAAGACAGTTGGTGATATGGGTTGAAATCGCTCTCAATGGTTGGCGCAAATGCATTCACTCTTTGTGATTTGTCATATCTTACAGAACTTTATCGTTTTTCCATATTACTAGTATTCTTTTTCCCTCACTCACACTTCTGTTTATTATCTGTCTTTTTGAACGTCCTTTTACTTGCTCCTCTTGCTTTATGTGCTACATGGAGGGGGTGTAGCAACTCGAAGTGTTGCACATCTGTCTGGTCAGAATGGCTTTGAACTGGCCTAGACACTATTACTTAGCAACATTTGTCAATGATAAATAATGAAAATGGTATTCCCGCTTAACAAAGTACACATTATCGTGAAGATTCCTGGCCAACAGCAACAGGAACAACAAGAGACAACAATCAGCCAGCATAAGTGGGAGAAATCTGAAAGAAGCAAACTCCTTCACCTACCTACCTACCTACCTACCTACCTACCTACCTGGGAAACATCGTCATTTTAAATACAGGCGGACAGAACTGATCAGGATACCAAAGTGAGGACCGATGAAGCGCGGTAGGCTTTCATTACTCTGAAGTCTGTGTGGAGGTCAACAGCACTGCTCAGCATGAAAAACAAGATCCGGATTTTCAACTCCAATGTGAAGTTAGTGCTACTATGCGGATTAGACACTTGGCGCAGCGTCACGAACGCCAAGTCGAACAAACTACACACCTTCATCAACAGCTGTCTTCGCTCAAGATCAGATGGCCAAAAACAGATCAGCAACACGGATCCCTGGGGACGAAGCAACCCAGCAGGAATCAATTGTGCAACAAATATGCAGGAGGATATGTAGGTGGATTGGCTGGCTATACTCTGAGAAAACAAACCATCACCAAGTGACATCACGCGCAATGCAGGCCATTACTCGAGTGGAATGCAAATGGCATGTGGCGAGTTGGCCGTCAGTGCGAGGGTGACATGGAGGAGGAGGTGATGTGAAGAGGACGAGAAGATGAAAGCATATGGGAAGACGTGGAGCCAGGTGAAAAGGTTCGCAGAGAACCAAACGCAATGGAGACGTGTGGCTGAAGCCCTATACTTCTCTAGGAACTAAAGGAGGTATCAAAATAGTATCGCATATTCAACTGTTTAATCAATAGAGGTACATTTAAAAAATATAAAAATAAAACTGCTAACAAAACGCCTACCTTCAATATCCGACCAACCATATACAAACTACCAGTGACAAATATATGACAATAGGGTGCAGTACTATTATTCCCAACAAGATTATCTGATATGCTTAATTGATTAGGTGAATACGATTGTAAATCTTCGATAGAGAAATATTCCTTTTGATGAAGCCAATTCAAGAAGTCAGATATAGATTTCATATGTTTGAAGACAGATTGACACGACGCTTTTTCTGTACTGTTCGACTCCAATTTTAACTGAGACCAAATCTTAAAGCATAATTCATCATGTGATTCTTTGCTAGGAAGAATATCTATAATAGGATAAATTAAAGAAAACAATAAAAATAAGTTACCGCAAAATTTCTTCACCAAATAATACATTACACTAAAGTGTTGGTTTGCAGGGATTTGATCAGTTTCAGGATTTCATCGTGACCTGCGTCGATGGCACAGCGGTTAGGACACTGGCCAACCGGAGTTCGATCCCCGGTCACTGATGCACTCCTTTTTTACCTCGTTACGCCAGTAATAAGACTGGTAAAGAGAGGAAAGGTTGGGCATGAGGTTAGCGACCCCATCCCGTAAAAATAAACAGCACTACTACCGAAACTTCAAGCCTCTAGCTTGAAAACGCCCTATGTTCCACTGGGAACGTGAAGGAATAAAAATAAAATCATGAACTGATATCGGTTAGAGGACCATTGGAAAACCTGAAAGTCATAACCAGTAGGGTACAGCAGCAGGTCGAGTGTGAGGACAAATACTTACCGTTAAGGATGATATTGGCTAGTGCCAGTCACGCCATATTATGAATTGGTAGAAGTCGGAATTCATGGATTATTGGATCAGTTCCCAGTGGCTTAATGGTCTGCAAGCTCGTCTTGTAACCATAGGGTCCTGGGTTCGAAACACACATTGAGTGTGCATTGATGAAGATTCCCAAACTAGGCTGACGAAACAGCTATCTAGTACTCTCAGGTTTTCCAATGGTTCTCCAACGGATGTCAATTCATGATGAGACCTTAATACATTACGATGAGATTAGCTTTATTCCTCAAA